AAGAGAGAGAGAGAGAGAGAGAGAGGGAGGGAGGGAGAGAGAGAGAGAGAGACAGACAGAGACAGACAGAGACAGACAGAGACAGACAGAGACAGACAGAGAGAGACAGAGAGGGGGCACAGAGAGAGAGACAGCTTACGAATAAAAGACATGATTACATTTTTCAGGTTTTCATCTTTATATTACTTGGAATACTTAAATAGTTAGGTGTTAAGGAAAGGTCAGGATATTATGACAATATGGACATTTTTAAAAAGCATCTTAGCAAAGAAATTAATGGAGCACCATGATCATTGATATCTGGTAAAAACTAGCACTTCATTGAGATGACTCTAGCATCCAAACATAAACTACAGCAAAAAGTAGAAGAAAAGTTTAGAAATAACACCTAGATTGATCATACTTTTTAGACACCTATTTGCTATACAGATGTAAATACTTCAAAAACTCTCACCAATTCACATAACAAACATTAATAATCAGATTATAATGAGGGAAAATAATATGGGGTTTATGAGGGGTTATCAGTATAAGTAAAAAAGCGCCATGAAGGGGTTAGTGGTCAGGAGCATAGGAATGAGTACCCCATGGGCAGTTGGGAGGGGTCTCAACGATGTAGTATGTGTTGTGAGAGCCAAATAATAGAACTAGGAAAGAAAAAGATAGTTTTAATTTTAGTAAGTGTTTAATAAGATAGTTTTAATTTTAGTAAGTGTTTTACGGCACTTGCAACACAATAAGGTCATATAAGTGCCGAAGATTAGACGCGTTACAAGAGAGTAACGAACACAAAAAAGAAGGAGGAGATATCTGGACGATAGGTGTTTGACAGGAAAGAAGAAGCAAACCACATCAGTCCACCCGCCAACCACCCACAAGAATAAGACAGACAGACATAAACAGAACAGGGAAAGTAAAGAAGTAGAACCTACCACTGGGGCACCCTCCAACCACTCGCAAACAGAGTTTTTAAAAATCTGTATGAATAAAGAACTTCTCCAAAACAGCGCATTTTCAGGCGGCGTTATCAAATTACCAGAACGTGCACTCTTAATGAGTATTAAAAAAAAAAAAACCCACAAAAAAACTGTCTCTATTCTCCTTGTTCCAAAGAATCTAAATAAAATGTGCCCTGACCTTTCACCCAACCCAAACCCCGTATTTCCGAAAAGCAGCAACAAAAGAGGTGCTGGTGAGTACGAGGGGTTTTTGTTTTTGTTTGTGTGTTTTTTGTTTTTTTCAATTATCATTTTTCCTGCTGCATTCCAGAACGGCCATTCCTTAAGCCAAATAAGTGCAGTTGATCGACTGTCATGGCCCTGCAGAAACCCGAGTCTCGTCTCTGCTCTTTAACGTCACATTTACAGAGGTCGCCTTCTTGATGTCATGCAAAGTGCTTCCTTTTTCGACCGCTACAATTCCACCTCACACGTAGAGCGCATTAGCATAATTGAATGATAGTACCACACCTGCTTTTCATGTCATTGTCACGTGTTATTTGGTCTGTCCCTTTGTTGGAGTGG